TTAGGTTATGAGCCCAACGGCCTAAGCACGAATGTACGTGCGAAAAAGCTATGCGCTTCAGACATGCGTCTCTGCTACGCCGAATCATGGTGTATCCTACGGCTTGGAGGACTTTGTCAGACCAGCACGCCACCACAATTACAACGCTGCCGCTATGGACTTAGTCGATGGAGGGGGGCTGCAGTGGCGAGTAAACCATTGTCGGCACCATCATCCAGGAGACGTGGAGCATTGGTTGCAAGGGAAGGCTGCCCTGGCGGAGGAAGATGAGGTAGCCGAGAGGCAGAAATCGTCTTCAGGCACGTAGGTCCTTGGTGCGGTGTCGTGTACGGGCGCGCTCTGCTTGGGATGATGCCGGAAGCCTTGGTTAACGCCATGGTGGAAGGTGAATCTCTAGGTAGAGTTTGCGTAGCCGGCCCACTGCCGGGGACAGGGGGGAGCAGCAACACGGTGCTAGCACAGCACAAGCAAAGCTACAGCATGCGTTGTCACAAATGCTCGTCTCTCGGAAGGGATGGACAGCTTGTGAAGAGCGCCCAGCCTCCTGCCAGATGGTAGGCCGAGGGGGGTGCTGAAGCCAAGCTGTAGCCCTTAAGAGCCGGTTGCCCCGGTGCGTTGTCCCCCTACCCTGCATCCTCCCTTGTGGATGTCAGGGCGGGGGGCAGGTGGGCAGAACATTCATGCGAGTTTAACATGCTTGAATCAGCTTCTTTAGTTAGGGTTTAGGGTTTAGGGTTTAGGAGGGCTAGGGTTTAGGGTTCAGGGTTTAGGGGGGAAGCCTTGTGGGAGCCCTCAACCCCGCACCAGCAGCCTCGAACTCTTGGACCTGTAGGGCCTTGTCGGGTTGGTCTGCACTTTGGGACTGACGTCAACCCACCGAAGCCCTCTTCTAAATCAAGGCCAAAAGATGGTGAATCAGCAGCTCAAGGGAATGGACTGAGAAGATTTAGGCAGGCTTACTTGTGAATTGTCCGGCTTAGGGCTGGGGCTGTCTAGTATGGGGGGCCTTAATAATTAGAATAGGGTTTTGGGGCCCGTTATACTATACTTATAGTAAGAAACCCCCAAAATAATATTGGTAATCATTTAGGCACATACATTACTCTATTCAGATCGGTCCTCTCCGTCCACGAAGCCGGGTCCACCCATGGCAGAACCCACCAACGCAAATACGACGGCAGAGTTTTGGTGCTGTCGGCTCTATCAAACCTCCTATGAAAGCCTACACAACCCCGTAAAAGGGACCCTATTGTGTAAAGTCCTATGAAACCGAACACAAAACCCTAAATCCTAAACCCTAAACCGTCTACGGACCCAAAAAAGCTCCTGTTGTAACCCCCCCAAACCAAAAAAAAACTGTTTGAAAGGGATGTTCGGGGGGAGCACTGACGTTGTTCACCCAAAGCCTCGAGCCTTCACTCAAATCCCTGAGGTACCGTGTTGGGGCACGTGTAGGGTTTTGGGCCCATTCAGAGAAAGGCCAATTTGGGGCTGTATGGGTTTGGACTTCTAAACCCAAAACTCATGCCTGAACTACAGGGCTTTGGGATAGCGCTTTCTGGTTTTGGGCTGAGGCTTTCTCATGGAAGCTCTGGCTGGGATGAAAGGACGGCATGTCTCAAGAAGCTCAAGAGCCTTCTTACAGTCTTACAGTCTTACATGGCTTCGCTGGCCTTGTGCGGGAGTTTGACAAGGATTATGCAGAAGGCTTTACATAGTCTTGGAATGTAACCCCTCATTTCACCAACTCGTCCCCGAAACCCTTCATGCTAAACCCCTGCCATAAGCCCGAACCCAAGCCATCCTAGTGAAGCCTTCCGTCTTATACAAACCCTCATAAAACCCGCAAGAGGAGATCATCTCCATGTATCTAACCAATCTCTCTATCTCTCTATATCTCTATCGATCTATCTAACTACCTGGCTAGCTGGCTAGCTAGCTACCTACCTACCTAGCTACCTACCTGCCTACCTACCTACCTACCTACATACCTACATACCTACCTATCTACCAATATATAAGCATATACACATAATCCTACGATACCGTGTTAAGCTGCCTTGAACCCTTAGAACCCACGCTGGGACGGGTCCTGCGATCTTTGGACGTCATTAGGGTTCTTGGTTTCCCCTAAACCCGCAACCCGAAACCCTAAACCCTTCCCTGAGAGCCCGGCTGTTGGGCTTGGAAAGCATCCCCTGGAAGGACGGCAGTCGCTTCTTGCTCTTGCCGTTGCTGTTTACACTTTAGGGGTTTAGGGCTCAGGGACAAGAAGAGGACTAATAAATGTGAACAACGATAAGGTAACAAAAGAATTAATCTGTGGTTCGTGATGTTGTCGTTGTTGTTGTTGTTGTTGCAGGCACGAACACCCGTAAAATGCGCAAGACTGCCAGTAACGATTGAATTGACTCAGACCTTCCAACGTCCCCTTATTAAGGACTATCCTGAAATTTTAGTAAGATAACTACAACGATCCTTAATTATCTGTGGATTTCTTGTGCTTCATGCATGGGAATCTGCGGCGCCCGGAGCTTTCCCGGCGCCTCCAACTCCAAACAGTTTAGGATCTCCTGCAACCATAAAGTAGGGGCCTTAATTATTAGACTAGGGTTCCTTTAACGGGTTCCTTTTAAAGCGGTCTACAAGTGTATTACTATAAGGGCTACTACGACCCAAATCCTATTTGTCCAGTATCCTAGAAATTTCAGGGTTAACCTTTGTGATTATGTAGGAGGTATAATCTACTACAATGTAAAATAGGGGCCTTTATGATTGGACTAGGTTTTGGGGTACATTATACCTTAGATGCGAAGCCCCAGAATACCCAACTTGTATCCCCATAAAACCCGAAGGCCATAGATGGCAGAAGCCGAAACATCTGCTTTGAACGCAGAAGCTGCAAGAGGCTGGGGAAATTAAAGACTTGGGCCCGTTAGAGTAGATAGAGCCTCCAGCTTGCCCTCCCCTACGCAAGCCCAGAACCGTAACATCAGACGATACTGTTGATGAAACTACTTGGTGCGCTGTACCAGCTTCTGCACGATAGGCTTATCAAAAGAGTGAACCCACTTAGACTACTGCATTCTACTTCAAACACTAAGTGAACCTGAACACCAAGTAAAACCAAGCTGCTTGGTCCACAGATCCTTCAAGTATTCAGTACATGGGCATTCGAATGACACCGCCATAAGCTGCCCTTGTCCTTTAGTCGAGTTGCATCCTAAGAGTCTTATGACCTATAGTATAGTCCGTCATCTTGAACCCTGCTCTCGAAACCGGTCTTTTTACCATTTGAAGACTGCGAGCGGATACTACTACTACTAAGTACCCAGACCTCTGTATACAACCCTTCACCCGAACTTCACCCTCAACTTCCTAAACCCTCAACTTCCTAAACACGTAAACCCTAAACCCCTAAACCCGAAACCCTCAACTTCCTAAACCCCTAAAGTTTAGGGGTTTAGGGTTTAGGGTTTAGGGTTTAGGGTTTAGGGTTTAGGGTTTAGGGTTTAGGGTTCCTCAACCCCGGGTCCTCGCCATCGTCCTCTGTAGCTGAGGCACTCGACGAAGACGCCTGCGGATTCCTGCAGGACGTCCGGGGTACACGGTGCGACTCGGGATTCAGGGGTCAGGGCTTATATGGCCTAGAACTTAGGATTACTCTGCAGGGTTTTGGGGTTTATGGGTTTAGAGGCTCAGGGTTTCAAGTTTACGGTTTAGGTTGTGCGGGGTTTTGAACTACTGTGACCCCACGCAGCACCCTAAACCCGAAACTCCCTTAGCCCTAAATCCTTACTACCAACATAAAGCCTGAAGCGGACGTGTTTGGCAAGGGCTCGCACTTCGAGTTGAACTACCGAAAAGTCAAAGCCCTCTCCAAGCCCAGTGGAAATGCAGGCAGGGACTAGGTCTAGAAAAAAATATCCCGAAACCTAAACCCTGAACTCTAAACCTTAAAACCCTAAACCTAGAGTCAGTATCGGACTTCGCCTTACTTACATACCGATTCTTTAATTTTTCGTCGGTAACACTGTTCAAACATATTCAAACTGTGTGCACACATGTAGCAACAAAAACGTAATCAAAAGGCTAAATCCCACCCCACCCCTCCAAAACATCACACAAACATGGGGAACCCAAAGCCCTCAGCCCTAAACCCTGAACCCTATGCCCTAAACTCCCTAAACTCTAAGCCCAAAGCCCTAAGCCCTAAACCCAAAGCTCCAAACAGCCCCCCCAAAACCCTCAACCCTAAGCCTTAAACCCTAACCCCCGCCCCCCCCCC